TCACAAACACAATCAAAGGTGGGGAATGGAACGCGAAAACAGCAAACCCGGTAACGAGTGAGTAAGAAGTAATGGTGGGGATGCCCGAATGGAGTGATCAGACATAAAAGGAGCAAAGGACAAAAGGCAACATAATAATCTAAATCTGAAACGAAAATGAGGTCTATTAGAGATTTTAAATTAAAATGTACTACGTCTGGTCCTAATTATAAGACCTCATACTAGGACTGGAGGTAGTACATTTTAATTTAAAATCCCTAATAGAATTTAAAATCTCTAATAGACCTCATCTACAAACAAGGTTTTATAATTAGAATCAGAGACAGTGCTACTTAACAGTTTTTTCTAAATATTACCTTTAGTTTTTAATATAAGACCCGGTTAACTAATTTGAACATATTAACAAAGTTAAAAATTACTTAATTATAGTACACTTCTCTGGTTCTATTTATAGGACAGAGACAGAAAATATTTTTGTCCTATTTATGGGGTACTGAGAGAATTTTTTTGTATGGATGTACAATTTTACCTTTCATTTATTATTGTGTTGGCTTTGTTTACATAAGATATAATGTATATTAAATAAGGATAAAGTTGAAAAGTTGTTGAATTTTAAATGAGAGTAAATAAAATTTAAGGTTTTTCTTGGTTTGTGTGAAACGTATTGGAAGTGATTTATAAATAGAACCAAAAAAGTATGTTAAATGATCTCTCTAAAATACATATGTGTATCATTATATCATACATCAATTTATAAGTGAGGTGAATTAGTTTGGAGAAAAATGATAAATATAATATTTTAAATTAAATTATTAAACTTTCTTAATCTCCTCAAATTAATCAGATGACTCTTGTATTAAAGACATGAAGTAATAACTATCAAGTAGTCTTTGTTTAACAGTTTTTTTCCCCTAAAGAAACCATCAAATAGGTGCTTAAGTTACTTTACAGTTCCTTATAAAAAAATCGTTGAGTATTTAACTTTTTATTATTCAACTAGCTTGCAGAAGGAAACTCAAAAGCATAATGAAGAATAGATTCAGGCTCCATCGTGTTTTCGTTTCATGTTGATGGCTATTTTACGGCTTAAGACCTTTCCAGTGGCCTATAATTTTTAATAACGTGATATTGCAAACTTCTTGATGCAATAGTAGTAGTAATAATAATAGTAACAATAATAATACTCTCTGCGTTATCTTTCTTTCTTTCTTTCTATTTTGCCTTTTTCGAGTGCATTATGAAATGTTCCATATGCATGGATGTTTATTAAGAAATTATTTGTGCCCGAATTTTTTTATTTATCCCCTCAAAAATATATAAAGTACTCCTTCTGGTTCACTCAGAAAAAAGAAAAAGAGAAAGAAGTACTCCTTCTAGTCTCCTTACATAAAGTGTCTTTTTAATAAATAAAAGGCTAAAGCCGATTCAAATTATAAGGTGCCTAGTCAAAATAGAAAATGATGTTCCATTTTTATCCTATAACTTTAATAGCTTTCTCGTAACCTGATATTATAGAGTATCCCTTTAATTAATAGAGCTGATAATTAAAATATTGAGATGATTTTAAACCAATAAAGCAATTAACATTTTTTCTCAATAATCTCCATGAAGAATGTCTAAAACACTTTATATAAAGCACCGGAGGAAGTAATTAGGAAGTTGAATGAAATGGACAGCAGCCGAATAAATAACTGAGGTACATTCTTGTAAACATAATGTTAAATATTTTTTTTTATAAGCACACATATGTATCCTCCTATTATAGAAGTAATATTATTTAGAACATTTTCAGACACATATGAGCACATCACCTAATGATAATTTAGACTTTGGTTTGTTATGTTATGAGAGACTAGTCTCTTTCGACAAACTCAACCTTTGTTAGTCCTTTTTTTTTTTGGGTACAAACCTCATTGGTCATATCAAATATTTTTTTAGGAACATGTATTTCTTTTTGAAAACAATCATATTCAAGACATTATTGGGCAATAAATATATACGCCTCTTTCAACGGGAATTTGAACTTGTTTTTTTGGTACAAAAATTTTAGGCAGGGGTTCAGGCTCAACCTAAGCTAAGGGCAAGGCACTTGAATAGCTCCTCCTAGGTGGTACCAATGTTGGGCTGGGCGAATCTACATTATACCTTCAGGCATTAACCTAAGCACCTCCATTATAGGATGTATCCCCAAGCGCCGTGACAGGGAATTGAACCCCCTTCCTTTTGGGTTAGAGGGTGTAGTTCCTACCCCTAAACCCATGGATGATGGGTGGGGATTGAAACTTTAATTCATCACGTTGTAAGGACTAGTTCTTTCTGCTAAACTCAACTCCTATTAGTAGTCTTTGTTTTTTTTGCTAAGCATGAGTATCCTTCTAGTGAAGGCAATTTTATTTGAGGTATTATTGGACATTAAATATGACACTTCTTCTATCAAGAATTAAAATCTTGATTTGTCGTATTATAAGATATTAATTTTTTTTTGTTAAACCCAACCCCATTAGTGGTGGTCACATTATATATCATTGTTTATAACGTTGCTTCTAGGCTTTTTATCAATAGTCGGCCCAAGTCCATCCAAACCCACTAATGCTGACACATTGCCGCCATCTTTTATTGGATTGATTTCAATACATTGCTTTTGGGCTTATGATTCTGTAGTGTTCACCCTTTAAGTTTGACCTTGCTAGGGGCTAGCAAGACATCAAACTGATGCCCGGGGCTCTCGAGCATTACCGCGCGATAAATTTTACTTCCTCATATTTTTAATATAAAAGTTATTTAACTAATCTAAGTAGATTAAAAAAATTAATTAAGTTAAGTATTTATAACAAATATGTATTGATTTTCTTAAAGTATCCTTTTTAATTATGATTATCCTTAGATGGAAACCCTTTAATATGTATAATTTATAAAGATACTTTAGAAAATGTCATATAAATTTAGGAGACAAAGTAGATTGAGGTTTTATACTTAAAACCAAATCTAAATTCAAATTAGCTTTTATATTAGAGATAGGAGGTAGTATTACAAACTAGCACCTAAGGTTAAGACATCTAATTCCCCCCTCCCCCCCTAATTTTTATCTATTTTTCTTCTTGTCTATCTAAGACTTAAAAATATATCCCAATAGATTTAATGTGGATCTATTCATTATTCAGGGAATTTTGTACCTTTTTTTTAAAATATCTTTTCATGTTTCGCATAAAGTTTACTAGTCAGTAAAAGGTAAAAGTCTCTTAAAAAATGCAAGTTAATTAGTTTTGTTTACTATTTAGTTCCTACTCTTCTGATCTCGTTCATTCATTCTTAAGTACTTGGATTCTTTTCAATTCATCCTCTGCGTCCTTGTGTAGCTCAGGACCTTTCCCAAGAGCGTGTGTATATATAATCACAAATTGCAGAAATTTGTATGTTGCACATTAAATATCAATCTATCAAAAAATCTTATATATCAGTACACAAATTACAACATATCAAATGAATCCCCAAGAAAAAATGATTAAAAAAATAAATAATGAACTATGCCTAATTGCCCTTTATTAGATACAAACATTAAATTAAACACCAATAGCAAAAGGCGCCCCAATGCGAGGCAACCAGGCGCGACGAGAAAGGAAACTAGCAACACTGAATCGGTTTGCCTCATTTCGACTACTTATGGCACGAAAGCCATGCCATTTTTCCCTACTTTTTGTTGATGAAACAGTCTTGAGCAAAATCATCATCGCCTCATGGAGACCATCCCTATGGATTCACGAATCCCTCAATGTAAGTCTTCATGACAACTGCTCTTGCATATTGCAGTGTGACCTACCCAAATATGTTTCAAATGAGTGTGAAACTCGCTTGAAATCCGATGCTGCTCGAAATTGGGAACTGATTATTGATATTCCGGTGTTCTGAAACGAGTCGCCTCGTCTTTGCACTGTGATTATGTTTGCTTGCCCTGCAAGCGGTTTTCTTACGAGAATCCTGCAGTTTTGAAAAACAACTGCTGCATTGCCCCAAATGAAATCTACTGTGCCAAAAATTCTACAGTCTCTATAGAATCGACATTGTGCATGAGCCACTAGAGCGCCTTGATAGCCTTCATCGATAGAAGACGAAGAGGTCGAAGGCTGATTGGAGTGAAACTACTTGACCTTTTTTAAAGATCCCTCATGTTTCTAGCACTACAAAAAAAAACATGTGATTAACAATAGAATTTAGAGATGGAACTTTTATTTAACAACAAAAATAGTGATGAAATTTGTTCCATTACAATTTCATTGCTAATTAGTGACGGAATGACGAAAAAATTTCATTCCTAATTAGCGACAAAAATTGTCTCTAACTTGGTGACGGAATTTTTTCATTGCTAATCCTATTTTTGTAAAAAAATATTTAAAACGCCACATGGCACCTTCATTAGCTGCTGCTACCTTATCATCGATGGCCACCGTCAGCCACCTCTAAGTATCACTGCCACATCAATTCTACCACCACATGTCACCACCTCATGTCCACGTGTCGTTACCACCTCACCATTGCCTACCACATGTTGCTATTTCACATGCCACCTAGTACCACTACTTGTCGCCATTATATAATTCCTCCTTAAAGTGACTTTTCTACAACTCAAACCTGGGATCTCATGCACACACACCCTTTTACCAGTTCAACTGCAATAAGCCCATTATTTTATGCAAAATAATATATATATGTGTATATATGTATATATAGATATAGATATATAATTTTTTTTTTACCCAAACTGTAATATCCTACTCTAAGAACTCAAATCGGAGCAAATTTAATAACTATGGTTGAGAGTTTACACTTCAAAAGTTGAAATTTTTAGAACTTATTATCTTTGATTCAAGACTCATGATTTCATTTTCCTAATTAAGACCCATATTTGTTCTCAATTTGTATGTTAAAAATATTTATTTATTTGCTATTCCGTTTCAGCTCTATTCAGTCATAAATTATACATCTCAAAACTTTAGATGTATACATTACATAGGAAATAACTAAATCATTCATATCATCACGCATATATAATATCAATATCTATACACATACACAAACTAAACCCACAGCTATGCAAGAACTAACCCTAGCTACTCCTCCTTATGGAGGTACGTACAATTATAGCCGTACAGTTTACATGCTTCAAAAATAGGGAAAAATATAAACACATAATATATTAATTTTTCACATTGACCAATTAGTTGTTTAAATCCTTCTTCTCTTCCACCTTAGCTTAGCGAAGCTCCCACCAGCTTCTTTTTTCCCTTGGATCAACTGGGCCCTACGGTTACATAGAAAAAAAGGGGTAAGATTCAAACAATCCTAGTAGAAGTAATCATATTCCATATATTAACATGTGGTAAAAACTGAGCATGCAAAACAAGTCACAGAGAACAACACATTTAACTGAATCTCATTTAACAATTGGCATAGCTGAATAACTGAGCAGCTGCATAACTGATTAACTGAACTGTATAACTGAGCAGCTGCTAACTGATTAACTGATGACTGATCATATGCATAATTGAATAACTGAACATATGCTTAACTGCATAATTTGAATAACTAAATAACTGTGCAGCTGCTATCTAATTAACTAAACAACTGTGCTAACTGATCAACTGTTAAATGCGCATATATTGGACAGCAAGATGTATACACATGGCCATGGCAATAACTGGTAAGGCAATTTATATGTTCTCATGCTTAACTATAACATTATGCACAAACAGACATGCAACCAAAACAAAACATACAAAATAATAATTAAAGCTACCTTTTGTCTGCTCTCTTGTGCAGGTACCGTGCTCCAGGTTTCTTCTTAATAAGCTAGGACACCAATTAAATCTTGACATTACAAGTACATATATAAGGTCAGTTAAAACTAGGGTTATGGTTAACCCATAACTAACTAAATCTCCCTATAACCCCCACTCAAGCACTCTCCTCTCTTAAAGTGGTTGGTCATCTTGGATAAAACTTTATCTTTATATTTCTAAAGGTCTCTAAAACTTTCCCTTTCTCATGTTTCCCTTAGCTACTCATTCTATTATGATTTGTTAACACTTTAAACATAGATTATCCATCTATGTCAATCACTTGCACCATTTAAAATTATTATCAACTAACATGCGTTCAGCCATTCAAACAATTTGTTAACCAATCAAAATAACAAACAGCCATTTCATAGCACATTTTAATGCCTCCAAAACTAAGCAATAAAAGTAACATCTTAACACACTTGAATTAATCACAAGGAAGCATTAAGCACATCTATTATATATATATTTTCACAAATGTGATCACTTCAGTATAATTCGTCTCTTCTAACAACTTAAAAATATGATGTAGATAGCTAGCAATTTAGTTAATCAAAAGAGTTATCAATCATTTTTCATAGTAATCATCTTCTCACGATTAAAACATATTAGATCATGTAGTCAATTTTCCAACTTCAACTTCATAAACATTATCTCAAACCATTATAACTATCCTTAATTAGTGCTTGATTCTCAAGGTCTTAGCAGAATTCTTCCTAGCTTAGTTTTCTATCATCATATACTAGCTATCATTTAACGTTGAGTAACTTGTTAGCATTCTAAAATTTTACTGCATCAATAACAGAACTTAGTCATCATTGTTATAATACTTTTTAACATGGTTTTCGTTTCTAATTTAATTATCTAAGATGAGGAAGCATTAAGTAGCTAACCTGTTATACTTTTCATCCTCAATAATCAATTTTCTAACATAAAACAGGAGCACATACATATATATCCTATATTCAGTACATTTTAACATTTCTATACAATATCCATAAAGAGAAGTCGAATGGCCTTCTCTATACAGCCAAAAACAGAACTGAAACCCATAATTTAAGAATCTTAAAACACTCTTGAACCATCCAAAGCAGTTTTCTAACATGTGGAAGCATCAAACAGTAGGCTTAAATTAGTTTCTAGCTTCATAATTCTAATTTTATGGCTTCCAACAACACACAAGGCTATAACTCTTATATAATCTATCTACTCCGACATTTAAGTAACATTTTTATTTAGCATTGCTTGTGTGCCTCTTACACTTAACTTTCTCTTCTAAAACTATGCTGTCCAAAACAGGGGAGAGGAAAAGTTTCATATATTTTGCTTCCATTGATACCCAAACAATTTATAGACATCTCCAAGATGTCTTGTGCGTGATTTAGCAATTTTGAACACTTGTTTCAAGTGGTAGAATTTTAAAACAGTGAGCATCTGATGGGCCCGGCCCCTTAATGGGCTAGGTATACGGGAGGAGACAGCCTAGGAACAAACCCAATCCTGCAAGCCGGGTGCCAAGTAAGGAAGGGGGACCACCAGGAGAAGGAGGGCAGACACGAGAAGGGGCCCACGAAGGATCAGGGTAGTGGGGAGACGGTTATCTAGGGTGCTGTGCGGAGGGAAAGGGTAGGAAGGATCTTAGGACTGGAGGAGAGACTTGACCTCTCGAAGGTTAGGGAGGGATTCTGATTGTGGTCTTCTTTATCTTTTGAACCAACGGGAACTAGGGTTAGTCGGCTACCATTTTCCATTTTTCCCTTTGATTTTCCCTAACAAAGGGGTGTAGTTGACTATTGAAACTATTCGGGCAATAAAATCACTAGTTCCATCATCTTTGGTATCAGAGCGGGTCGACCCTGTGAATGGTGAGTACCAAAAGGATGGAAGCAAGACTAGAAAATGTGGAAAAGACAGTGAACGAGCTGCAAGGAGTGGGACGGGTAGTAGGCGAGTTGCAGAGGTCCAATATGGAAGCGAGGGAGGAACGATCCTTAATGCAAAGGACCATTGTTCAGCTACAGGAGCAAAATGCAAACATTCTTCGTATACTGAACCAGAGATTACCCGAGACCCCTCATGAGGGTCGCCGAGAAGTAAGGGCACCAGAAGGAGAGGCGGAACACACGAGAGAGGATCGAGGGGGAGATGACCGTAACAGGGGTGAACGAATCCCAGAGATGGAAGCAGGGAGGACTCATATGAACAGAGAGACGGAGGTGTTGGGAGAGAAGGAAGTACAAAAGTACCGCCGTATAGAAATGCCACTATTCGATGGAGAGGATCCTATAGGCTGGACCTTTCGGATGGAGCGCTACTTCGTCGTCAATGGAGTTCCAGAGACTGAAAAACTCGATGCTGCCGTGGTGGGACTGGAGGGAAAAGCATTGAACTGGTTCCAATGGACGGAGATGCGAGCGCCGATAGCGAGTTGGAGGGAGTTCAAGCGGAGTGTGGTTAAACGTTTCCACCAGTCACACACTGGGAACAACCACGAGAGACTCGCCGGCCTGAAGCAAACAGGGACGGTGGCTGAATATAGGGAGACGTTTGAGATGATTTCGGCAACCCTTGATGACGTGTCCGAAGCTTCACTAATGGGCATGTTCATGAATGGGCTTAAAGAAGAGGTGAAGGCTGATGTGCGGGTGTTAAAGCCCAATCAACTAGAGGACCTAATGGACACAGCCACGGAGATTGAAGGCCGAAACTTGACGTTGGAGAAGGCCAAGCAGAAAAAGGAGTCCAAGCTGTACCGGAAGGAAAACCCGAGGACTTAGGCACCCCCACTTGCACTCCCACCCAAATTCTCGACTTTCTCAGAGAATCCCAAGAGCCCTGCTCCGTCATCAGGGACGCGAGTCACCAACAATCGTGGACTTGACACCTCTAAGGTTGCTAGTAACCAAGCTGCGACACCTAGCGCAGTACCCAGCACCGGAAGCAGCAACCACAGGGGGAATAGAAGACTCTCTAAGGCAGAGATAAACCGTCTAAGAGAGAAGGGACTGTGTTTTAAGTGTGAAGAAAAATGGGGTCCCACTCACAAGTGCAAATCCAAGCAGCTCCAAGTGATGGTTGTTGACGAGGAGGAAGGAGGAGAGATTCGAGAGTGCGATTTTGAGGAACTAGAAAAGGATGAGACTGAGAAGGAGTATTCCACCATGGAACTCTCCCAAGCGACAGTGTTGGGCATTTCGAGTTACAAGACATTGAAGATGAAGGGAACTGTCAACGGGAGGCCTGTAGTTGTCCTGATTGATAGTGGGGCTACCCACAATTTCATCGCCCGACACATGGTGACAGAACTGGGGTTGGAGGTGACACCCACTCCGACTTACTCTGTAGCTGTGGGGGATGGGAGACATGTATATGAGAATGGAAAATGCCAAAGGTTGAAGCTGGAGTTGCAGGGATTGAACGTTATGCAAACATTCTATCCGTTTCCCCTGGCTAATATTGATTTGGTGCTCGGTGTAGCTTGGCTCGAGTCCCTTGGAGAGGTGCGATTAAATTGGGGACAGCTCTACATGAAGGTTAAATCAGGGAGCGAGTGGGTATGTTTGCGAGGAGACCCCACGTTAACACACATGCAAGCGTCTTACAAGGCTTGCCGAAGGGCACTGAAAGGGAAGTTTGAAGGGTATTGGCTGGAAATCAACGTAATGGGCTTGCATCAGGAAAGGGAGCCTGGAGATGGGACCCGAACTCCAAAAATTCAACAGCTCCTGGATAAGTATAGTGAGGTGTGCCAAGCTGTTACCAAACTACCACCACACCGGACCCAGGATCACGCCATCATGCTTAAAGAGGGGGCGCAGGTACCAAATGTAAGACCCTATCGGTACCCATACACTCATAAGGCAGAGATTGAGAAGACGGTGAAGGAAATGATAGAAGCTGGCATCATTCGACCAAGCAGCAGCCCTTTCTCAAGCCCGGTATTACTAGTCAGGAAAAAAGACGGCAGCTGGAGATTCTGCGTGGACTATAGGGCCTTGAATCGAGTTACAATACCTAATAAATACCCTATCCCAGCAGTTGATGAGCTATTGGATGAATTGGGAGGTGCTACAATTTTCTCCAAGCTGGATCTCAAGGCAGGATACCATCAGATCCGAATCAGGACCGGGGACGAGCACAAAACCGCCTTCAGGACGCACATTGGGCACTATGAATTCCTGATTATGCCCTTTGGGCTCACAAATGCACCTTCTATCTATCAGTCTTTGATGAATGACATTTTTCGTGATTATTTGAGGAAATTCATTCTGGTGTTCTTTGATGACATACTCGTGTATAGCAGGGATATGGAATTACATACGGAGCACTTGGAGACTGCACCCAGAATTCTCCAGCAACACCAACTCGTTATTAATGTAAAAAAATGTAGCTTCGGCCAACAACAGCTAGAATACTTGGGGCACATCATCACGGCCGGGGGAGTGAAGGCTGACCCTGCTAAAATAGAAGCCATGGTTTCCTGGCCAACGCCTAAAGACATAAAGAGTTTGAGAGGGTTTCTCAGTCTCACTGGATATTACCGGAAATTCATAAAGGACTACGGAAAGATAGCAGCTCCCTTGACGGCCTTACTTAAGAAGAACGCTTTCAAATGGGGAGACCAAGCTCAAACAACTTTTCAGAAACTCAAATCTGCCATGACTAATGCACCAGTGTTGACCATGCCCGATTTTAAAATGCCATTTGAAATAGAAGCTGACGCGTGTGGAGTGGGAGTCGGTGCTGTGCTCATGCAACAAGGACGCCCTATTGCCTATTTTAGCCAACAACTGTCCAAAAAAGCTCAGCAAGGATCAGTCTATGAGAAGGAATTAATGGCCATTGTTCTCGCCATAAAAAAGTGGCAGCACTACTTGACAGTTCAACCCTTCATTATCAAGACTGACCAAAAGGCCCTGAGGTATTTACTAGAGCAGCGTGTAATGGACCCCGACCAGAAGAAGTGGATTTCTAAGCTGATGGGATACAGATTCGAGATCTAGTATAAACCGGGAAAAGAAAACCAGGCAGCTGATGCTTTATCTCAAAAAGAAGTACTGAACCTGTCCCTTAATTCATTTTCCCTATGGCAATACGTTGGAGTGGAAGACTTCGAATCTGAGGTGACTAAGGACCCAAAACTGAATGAGCTCAGGCAAAAGGTATTATTGGGAACCAACGTACCTACGGGATACTCTCTCAAGAATGGCTGCCTTATGTACAACGGTCGATTGGTGCTACCTAGGAGTTCTCCCAAGACTGATGGATTAATTAAGGAGTTTCATAACTCTCCGATCGGAGGGCACTCGGGGTACTTGAGGACTTATAAGAGAATGGCAGACGTGGTGTTCTGGGAAGGTATGAAGAAGGATATACAAGACTATGTGGCCAAATGTGAAACCTGCCAGCGAAATAAATATGCAGCCACAAGTCCAGCGGGCCTATTGCAGCCCTTACCAGTTTCGCAACAGGTTTGGGAAGATATAAGCATGGATTTTATCATAGGCATGCCTAGGGCTTGTCGATATGATACCATCATGGTGGTGGTGGATAGACTCACCAAATATGCTCACTTTATTCCTCTC